TTTATCTCTAAAATTTAATTTATTAGTTGATATTTTTAACTTTGTTAAATATTACTTAACATTTAACACATTATTTAACATAATTATATTATTAACTCTTTATTTAAATGATTTAAATATCTAATTTAGCTAAAAAATAATGAAATTCACTTTTAGCAACAAGAACCATATTGCTGAAAGTGAAGAATAATTTTTGGGGGGAAAGTGTACTATTTAAACGAAATTCGATCATGAACAGTAACAAAAAATTTTCAATAACATGGCTCTTGTTGTTGCTGAAATCATTTTCAGCAACAAGAACCATGTTGTTAAAAGTAAATACCATTTTTTGCTGATTAATTTATGAAATTGGTGCAAAATTTGTTCATGAACACTAACCAAAAAATTTCAGTAACAAGAATCGTATTACTAAAAGTAAATACCACTTTTTGCTAATTAATTTATGAAATTGGTGTAAAATCCGGTCATAAACAGTAACCATAAAATTTCAGCAACAAGAACTATGTTGCTAAAAGTAAAGATCACTTTTTGCTAATTATTTTATGAAATTGGTGCAAAATCCGGTCACGAACAATAACAAAAAAATTTCAACAACAAGAACCATGTTACTAAAAGTAAAGAACATTTTTTGCTCATTAATTTATAAAATTGGTGCAAAATCCGATCATAAACAATAACAAAAAAATTTCAGCAACAAGAGTCATGTTACTAAAAGTAAAGAACACTTTTTGCTGATCAATTAATGAAATTGGTGCAAAATCTAGTCATGAACAGTAACATAAAATTTTCAGCAACGTGGTCATTGTTGCTGAAATTCATTTTTAGCAATAAGAACCATGTTACAAAAAGTAAAGAACACTTTTCGTTAAAATGTGCACTATTTAAATATCAGCAACATGGGTTTTGTCGGTGAAAATTCATATCACTAACAAGCAATTTCATGTTACTAATACTTAGTTGCTGAAAACAAAAGTTTTAGTAGTGTAATTAATATTCACAGTCTCTAGTCTATACATATTTTGTTGTCAATAAAGACGTGGTTATTGGAAAAAACCGTGAAAGATGATCACTAATAATCAATGAATATCACACATGAACATTAAAAAAAAGGGACAAAGGAATGTCTTTTTTACTATTTTGTAAATAGTTATTAATTATTAATTTTAATTAAATGAATTATATACGTTGAATTATAAATAATAATTATTAATTTTTAACTATTAATTATCAATTATATATAAACTAAGTAATACAAACATCCTGAAAAGCTATTTGGAAAGAAGCTTGTGCTCTTGTGTCATAGTAAAGTCCTGACTGACCCTGCAAAGTTTGAAGACCTTCGACTGTTTGTTTATAGTATTTTATAGTGTGCTTGAAATAGCGGTATTATCGCAACACTCTTCAAATACGTGCTAATTCTTCCTTAAGACACTATAAGCAGCTGCTTTGTTAGAACTTAGAGGGGATTATGTCTTTCGTTAAATCTAACCATGCAGGCCTTGAGATTCATCTCTGTTATGGATTATATATTGCCAACATAATTGATTAATAAAGGTTGA